TCCGTGTGTGCGTACGTGCGTTCGTGCGTTCGTGCGTTCGTGCGTTCGTGGACTTGTCCGTGTGTGCGATCGTGCGTTCGTGCGTACGTGCGTACGTGCGTTTTTCGTGCGTTCGTGCGTTCGTGCGTTCGTGCGTTCGTGCGTTCGTGCGTTCGTGCGTATGTGCGTTAGTGCGTTCGTGCGTTCGTCCACTTGTCCGTGCGTGCGTTCATATAACCCGCGTTCGTGCGTTCGTGTGTTCGTGCGTCCGTACGTACTTGTGAGTGACTTCGCTGACAATCCTTTTCCTGTGATGACACAGGAGGGTTTCGGCTCCGGGCGTTTGCATAATTAATTTGGGAGAGAATAGATAACACGGGGCGTACACAGTGCAATGTCATCATCTATAAGTCCGCTATTTACCGACCGCGATAACATTCACTCTACTATTCCGAAACTCTATCACCGTCGAATAACGCGCTGACACTACGCCATTGTCATATTCGTTTAGAATTTTGGGAATTGGGTCGTGAGCGGAACCACAGCTGTGACCTGTCGATAATTATAGTATTTCGCGTTTTCGGTCACTAATTTGATTATGTACGCGTTGACGCCAGTGTGGAGCGAGCTGCTTTCTTCTGTTTACACATGCGCGGTGGCACTGCAGCGCGTTTCGTCGGTTCGTGTGAGTGTAAGCAAACACCATAACTTGCGGTCTCGCGCGCGATTGTTGTATCGCCATCTAGCGGTAATCATGTAAACATAATTTACTTGGAATGTAGAACTGGCGCGTGGGTATGTTCTTGTTGCTGTTGTTCTTGTTAATAAGCCGTCCTAAAATATCTGTTGACATAGCGAGACATATATGTGGGCGGCATGGCGCGAAAGAAGTAATAGGAGGTGCAATCAACCAGGGAACCATATTTATGGCAACCGGAACACATGATCGTGAGCGATGGAAAACCGCGTTGTAACATTCTTGCACCAAAACATGGCACTGCCAGCATTCAAATTAATTTAATCCAGGGCAATATCGTTGGGTCGATATAATGATTATTATGTCTTAAAGCCTATGCGAACCCAATAAAAATTCGTATATTGTAACAAGTATAATGTGCATAGTTTTGTTCGCATAGGCTTTAATGTCTTTATAATAAAATATTATAAATGCTGATTTTAATCGCGTAAAAGTCATGCTCGGATATTCGAGAATAGACGCAGTCATGCGTGTCAGTTTTGACGCTCAGCTTTCAAAGGGCACGCCGCTATTCGCGTGGAATTAATGTTTCTCTACGAGAGAGATAGCTTTACGAGAAAAACAGCTTTGGTCTGATATTAGAAGTAAGTATAGAACCACGGCTACTCGAGCGTGCGAGAATGACAGTTCCGCGCAGTTTCCGTGTTTTGCTTAACCCTACTCTACGTCGGTAAACGTGCGAGTATAGGATTTTCGCAATATTCCACCTGATAGATTTCGTTTAGCCTAATTTGAGAGCTTTGCTGCTTTGTAGTAGGACGGGGTTAGGCATATATGAGAGCAGACATCTGTTACATTTGCTCGTCGTAGAATCGTTACAACGCGCGCATTCACTGTGTGCATGCGCCAGCGCAAGAATGAACGTGTGATGGGAAGGTTGCATCTCACAGCTTCCGATCATAGTATCATGAGCGTGTAATATTGACTAGTGTATACTAATATAGTCTATATTAAACACTCCCGATAATATCAAGAATCAATAATAGAAAATTTCCGATTATTGATTTTTCATAGTATCTCTCCGCTCTCCGCACCTGCAACTCATCAAGAGCTAATAATACCTATTAAATACCTTAATGCTAATAATAATAGGTATTATTAGCTCTTAAACTCATGTATACCTACGCCTCTCCCATCGCCTTCTGTGCAGGCGTACCTGCGTTTACCATAGGCGTTTGGCTGCGACAGTCTGCCCAGCAGTCGTATACGCACATAGCGAACACGGCTTACATTGTCAGGTCATTGATACATTATCATTACAAGGTTACATTGTCAAATGCATATCATAACTGCGCAGCGAAACTAGATATCATGCATTTACGGTTCCGTGCGTTCGTCGATACGAATTTTTATTCCGGCGAGCCGTCCATCACAGAGACATGTGTCGCCATAATGTAAAACGTCAGAACAACTGATGAAATTTCTCCGCTTGACTGATGTTTCGCCGCGAAATGCAGTTGCTAATAAAGGCGGTTAAGTGTATGCCTGCACGGTTCACTATCGGTTATAATGCATTATATATAACATGTACGCATCTTGCACAATCAGTTAAATATATACATTATACATTATATATATACATTATATATGTATGTATATATAAATAAATATATATATACTTAGTGTATTATATACAAAGTATGCGTAAACATAACAAGTTATGAGAGCGTTTCGATTTGCGGAATTATTATATTTACTTATATGGCATGAACATATTACCGTATCGTTTCTTGTAAAAGTGGAATGTGTGAAACTCGCACAGTCGGTTTCCATTTCAGATGTAAATTTGCATAAACGAGCCGATATCTATTTTGCGGCAACAACCGCATTTTCCGAATTGTAGATGTAATTTATTACTAGGAAATAGCGATCATATATGTTCATTAGATATCTAATTGTTGGAGTCCTGTGCGGAGAGCTAAATGAAGAACGTACGTCAGTATTTTAGTTTCTTAGCCTTTGCTGTCGTATTCATAGACATTATTCACACGTACGCATAAACACACACACACACACACACACACACACACACACACACACACACACACACACACACACACACACACACACACACGACACGACACGCACGACACACACACAACACACACACACACACACACACACACACACACACACACGTAAAACATATTCGGGTTTTCGTTTCATTTGCGTTTGACTTATTGCTGCATCAGCTGCTCCAATAAAACTCTGTATGCTTCGATGAGATTGAGCGACGAGAAAAGAAAGAAAACCCCTCCGCATTTGTTAATTAGAAAACGGTCGTAAATATGAATACGGATATAACTTACAATGGCACGGCGGCCTCATAAGCTTTAAGTCCCTTTCATGATTGCCAGGCGAAGCAAAAGAAAAGCGAAATCGCACGACGTCGCGAAATGAAACCTCGGCACTACTGTCGTAATTAGCGAAACAAATTTTCCAATCGGTTGTCGTAAGATTAGCGGGAAGCAAAAACACGGTAATCTTTAACGCCTCCGTCGGCCGAAATAGCCACAATAACTCATTGCAGTTCCACGACGCTTTAGCGCTCGGGTTTAACTGAGAACGGATAACTGAAACCTGCACGACTAACTACTACTGAAGTTAGACGATGGCCTATACGGACTCGGGTTTAACTATAAGAACGGATACCTAAAACCCGCACGAATAACTACTACTAAGGATAGACGTCGGTCTACGTGCACGGGTTTAACTAAAAACGAATAATTAAAACCTGCACTACTAACTACTACAGTTAGACGACGCTCTACGTGCTCGGGTTTAACTATAAGAACGGATACCTAAAACCCGCACGAATAACTACTACTAAGGATAGACGATGGTCTACGTGCACGGGTTTAACTAAGAACGAATAACTAAAACCTGCACTACTAACTACTACTAAAGTTAGACGACGCTCTACGTGCACGGGTTTAACTAAGAACGGATAATTCAAACCCGCACGACTAACTACTAGTAAGGTTAGAGAGTATACTCGAAGAGTACACGCGGAATATGCCGTAGTAGTAGAGTGTGTACACGAATATACGGTTACAACGTGGGTATCACCACGGCGCACTTATACACACACGCGCGCGCGGGTCTTCAGCTGAGTGTGAAACTCACTGTGGTGGGAGAAGCTATACGTGGCTGTTTGCCGCGGCTCATTTCGTGCTAGCATGGCCGCGTTCTCACCCGCACCCTGCCGCCGCTGCTGCTGCTGCCGCTCGCACAGAGGCGCTCTAGGATGAGGATGAGGAGCAGGAGGAAGAGGGAGTCGGTGGCCGGCAGTTATCGCGCGCACGCCTGGCGTCTGCGCATGCAGCCTTTAGCAGGCGTACATGTGCGCGCGCCACGCAGTCGGGCCAGCCGATAGACGTCGCAGACTGCCGCGAGTGAATTCGGCGGCGGTGTTTCGACTTCAAGCAGCCATGAGTCGCGCCGCGAAAAGTTGATAGCCAGTTTGCCGCGCGCGAGCCAAGAAGTCAGAAGTGCGTGCGTGCGCGGAGCATGCGTGCGTGCGTGTGTGCGTGCGTGCGGTGCCGTCATGTGTGACGCAGCAGTTCGATATCTGCACGGCGGCGGCAGCGGCCGTAGAGATCGATAGTCGCGTACTAATAACATCGATGTGTGTGCAGCGCGGAGAAATTTGAAGAATTCTTCGCCAACGTTCCAGTGAGTGAGGAGAACGAGCCGAGAGAAGGCGGGAGTGCGTCGCATGCCGTGCCCGAGCGCGGTCGCGCCGCGCGTGTACGCCTCGCACCTATAACCAACGCAACATCATCATCATCGTCATCATCATCATCATCATCATCACCGCAGCCGCCACCGACTGTGAACACTAACTATAGCGCCTCGACGTGAGGCGAGCTAGCGGCCGAGAAACATACCACATGCGAAGGAGAAGCAGAAAGGGCGAAATAACGAGCCAGAGAGAAGCCAAGCGAACGAGCGAGTCAGTCGCAGAGAGAGGGACAGACACACACGCACAGAAAGGGAAGCAGAGCAAGAGAGAGAGAGAAAGAGTGAGAGAGGGCGAAAGGGTGCGAGAGGCAGAGTAAGAGAGCGAGAGAGAGAGAGAGAGAGAGAGAGAGAGAGAGAGTGTGAGAACGAAAGCGAGAGAGTGTGTGTGAGAGAGAGAGAGCAAAAGAGAGAGAGAGAGAGCGAGAGAGCGAGAGAGCGGGAGAAAGAGAAAGAGAGAGAGCGAAAGAGAGATAGAGAGAGAGAGAGAGAGTGAGAGAGAGAGAGAGAGAGCGAAAGAGAGAGAGAGAGAGAGAGAGAGAGAGAGAGAGAGAGAGAGAGAAAAGCTACATCGCTGCTGATCGTCAGAATGCGTGTGCCACGGACACCGCCGCTACCTGTGCTGCTCGTCGTTGCCATGACATTATGTGGGCTTCGCAGCGTCTCCAGTCAGCAGAGTGCCGACCCAGCGTGCAACTCAAAGTATATCCAGGCCGAGTAAGTACACGCACGCACACACACACACACGCATGCATACACACATATGCACACGCATACACACGCGCGCACACACACACGCGTATGCGTACACACACGCACACACACATGCACACATACACACGCATGTACACACGCATGTACGCATGCAAGCACACACACGCGCGTATGCACTCATGCACACACACACGCACGCACGCACGCATACACACACACACACTCTCTCTCTCTCTCTCTCTCTCTCACTACACACACACACACACACACACACACACACACACACACACACACACACACACACACNCACGCACGCACGCACGCACGCACGCGCACACACACACACAACGCACACGCACGCACGCACGCACGCACGCACGCACGCCCGCACGCACACACACACACACACACACACCCAACACACATACAAACAAGCAAACAAATAAAAACAGCAGCAGTAGTCTCGTGTGATATAGTATTGCACTTCGTTTAACTTTTTTGGTACATGGTTCAGCGTAGATGTAATAGAATGTTTTCTACATAATTGCATGCTAGCACCCATGCAATGACATTATCGCATAAAATGTTCTGCTACGTAACACGTTTTGCTAGAGAAAGATGGCAAACAATAATGCCTAGTTAATAAAACATTATGCTACGCGTAATACTATGACAGCACACAACAGTACGCAATAAAACACCGTGCAATGTGTAACCTTAGGATGACACGTAACAGTATACGTAATAACACACCGTGCCACACATCACATACATAACCCTGGTATGACACACAACGGTACGTTATAAAACGTTGTGCAATAAGTGACCTTAGAAAGACACACAGCAGTACGTAATAAAGTACCGTGCTATACGTAACCTTAGTATGACACACAACAGTACGTTATACAACATTGCGCAACACGTAACCCTACGATGGCACGCAACAGCGCGTAATAACACACTCTGCTACTCCGTAACTCCATCGTCGCACACAACAGAGCCTAATAACACACTGCCCTATACGTATAACCCACCCTCACGGCTTCCTATCACAAATCCAGCTTAACCCCCCTTCATCCTCACTCGCTCGTGGCTGTACCGCATGTCTGTACGGTGCAGTGCTGTAGCGACAGTCGGTAGTGGATATAGGGTGACATGTGTCGTGGCGGTCGCATCTCGGCACATATCTGGCATGCCTGTAACAGGAGAGCGAAGCGGTCTCTGCTAACCGGTGCATGCGCGTGTTCCGAGCCGCATCTCTCTCTCTCTCTCTCTCTCTCTCTCTCTCTCTCGCTCTCTCGCTCTCTCTCTCTCTCTCTCTGGTTC